AAAGGGAAAGTACAAGGAACTCTTAACGGAGGCGAAAACGAAAATTAACATAGACGAACTAGGGATCTCCAAGATCAGGACGAGACAGGGTGTCACGGGAGCCCTGATCTTGGAGATCCCAGGTGAGGACCGCAACACACATGCGGACAACCTCGCCAAAAAACTAAGCGAGGTACTCGCAGAAAAGGCAAAAGTGACCCGCCCACAAAAAATGGGAGAAATAAGGATCAGGGGCCTAGAGGTGTCCACCTCAGAGGAGGAGGCTGCGCAGCGGGTGGCCCAAGCCGGTGGCTGCAGAGTGGCGGAGGTCCAGACGGGAGTTATAAGGACCACGCCATCGGGCTATAGATCGCTATGGATGAGGTGCCCGCTCGCAGCAGCGAAAAAAGTGGCGGAGAAGGGGACTCTATCTCTGGGGTGGACGCAGGTCAAGGTAGAGCTCCTGGAATCTAGGCCCCTGCAATGCTACAGGTGCCTTGAGAGAGGGCACGTGCAGCAAAATTGCAGCAACAAGGTGGACAGAAGAAACATCTGTTACAGGTGTGGAGAGACGGACCACCTGGCCCGCAGCTGCACCAAAGCAGCGAGGTGTGCTGTGTGTGCTGCGGCAGGAAAACAGGCGGGTCACCGAATGGGGGGGCCGGCGTGTCGCCCCCCCAACAAGAGAAGGAACCGAAAGAGGGATGAGGGGCAGGAAGCGGAGGCAGCCGCACCAATGCCACCAGCCCCCCCTTCTCCCTCTAAGGAGAGAACAGATGAAAGAGGGGACAAAGAGCAAGAGCCCTCCCCATCCATAGAATCCATGGGACCAGCTACCCCGATAAATGGACCACAAGAGAAAGGGGAGGATATGGATATCGAAAGGAGGGAGAGAAGAGGCAGCGACCCGCAAGGAGAAGCGGGAGTGAGGAAGAGGAGGGGCCCGTGGAGAAATTGCTTATCCACTTATAATGGACACACGGCTCCTCCAAGCAAATCTGCACCGCGCTCGGCAGGCACTACCGCTCTTCGAGCATACCATGACCGAGCGCGGTGCGGGATTGGGAATTGCGGCGGAGCCCTACAGAGTCCCCAAAAACCATCCGAGATGGTTCGGGGACAATCTGGGCTCCGTCGCAATCATTTGGAAAGCGGGCGGAAACTCTCCCCCCGCTACCTATGTGGGTAGCGGAGAGGGATTCGTCGTGGCCAGGTGGGGTGCCCTGATAGTGTCGGGGTATACCTCCCCCCAACAAAGAGCCTGGACTTTCCTAGCTTTAAGTCCAGGCTCCGAGACATGGGGAGGGCGTTAGACGGCACCTCCCCGAACCTGTCATCATCGCCGGGGACTTCAATGCGAAGTCGGAACGTGGGATCCCGGGATGGTGACAGGAGGGGGGAGGAGGTGGAAGACTGGGCCGCGGGCCTGGATCTGCACCTGCTGAACGAGGGACGCGAATCGACGTTCGTAGGGTCGCGGGGAGAATCGATCATCGATCTCACATGGGCTTCCCCCGCGGCCCTGAAGCGGGTGCGGAGTTGGAGGGTGGCGGACGAGCTCGAAGCTCTTTCAGATCATCTCTTAATAGAGATGGAGCTGTCCGTCACCCCCGAGGGCCTGCGGTCCAAGCAACCCCGAATGCAACCCCGACCGGGGAGATGGTCCCTGAACAAACTGGACAGGGAAGCACTGGACATCTCCCTAGAGGCTGCCACCTGGCCACGGCAGGAAGAGGGCGGGACCTCGACTCTGAGGTTATGGCAATTATGGAAGTCGTCGCGCATGCGTGCGACGAAGCCATGCCCAGAGTCAGGTCCTGCCCCAAAAGGTCCGCCTGGTGGTGGACCGACGCCATAGCCGATCTCCGGCACAAGTCGGTCCACCTCAGGCGGGCCTTTAGGAGGGTCCGTAATGACCCTCACTCGGACCCCGAGGCTGTTCTGGCTGCCGGAGGGAGTTTTGCCTAGCGGCAGCATCCCTCAGAGATGCGATTGGGGCAGCNGTTCACCCCAAAAAGGAAGGGAAACCTAGGATCAGGGAAGACGTGAAATTAAACACAAGAGTGAGAGTCGATAGAGGAAGCCCACCAAGGAGAACCGAAAAGGAGAAAATTACTTCCATAGTCGAGGAGGCTATGAAACTATGGGAGGACAAAAACAAAAACAAGGCAGACCAGGGTCGCAACATAGAAACTGCCCATAAGAAAGAGAAAAAGAAAGGGGAGTGCCAAACGGCCAAAAAAAACAGGGGCCACGACAACAGCCCAAGGCTCCACCACCACCCCAAGGAGGAATACCCCCCTTACCGAAAGGCCACCGAGGATTAGCTCAGAACCTAAAGAATCCTGGGCAACGGTGGTGGGCAGAAAGGAAAGAAGGAGAGAAAGAAAAGAAAAGAACGAAGGGAAGGGCTCTCCGCAAATAGTGGTAAAGGAGAAAAGCGCGAACAAAAAGAGCAAAAAGGAGAGTCCTAACACCGGCGGCGATTTCAATCTCCGCGGAAAAAGGGGGGTATAAGGAACTCTTAACGGAGGCGAAAAAGAAAATTAACATAGACGAACTAGGGATCTCCAAGATCAGGACGAGACAAGGTGTCACGGGAGCCCTGATCTTGGAGATCCCAGGTGAGGACCGCAACACACATGCGGACAACCTCGCCAAAAAACTAAGCGAGGTACTCGCAGAAAAGGCAAAAGTGACCCGCCCACAAAAAATGGGAGAAATAAGGATCAGGGGCCTAGAGGTGTCCACCTCAGAGGAGGAGGCTGCGCAGCGGGTGGCCCAAGCCGGTGGCTGCAGAGTGGCGGAGGTCCAGACGGGAGTCATAAGGACCACACCATCGGGCTATAGGTCGTTATGGATGAGGTGCCCGCTCGCAGCAGCCAAAAAAGTGGCGGAGAAGGGAACTCTATCTCTGGGGTGGACGCAGGTCAAAGTAGAGCTCCTCGAATCTAGGCCCCTGCAATGCTACAGGTGCCTTGAGAGAGGGCACGTGCAGCAAAATTGCAGCAACAAGGTGGACAGGAGAAACATATGTTACAGGTGTGGAGAGACGGACCACCTGGCCCGCAGCTGCACCAAAGCAGCGAGGTGTGCTGTGTGTGCTGCGGCGGGAAAACAGGCGGGTCACCGAATGGGGGGGCCGGCGTGTCGCCCCCCAACAAGAGAAGGAACCAAAAGAGGGATGAGGGGCAGGAAGCGGAGGCAGCCGCACCAATGCCACCAGCCCCCCCTTCTCCCTCTAAGGAGAGAATAGATGAAAGAGGGGACAAAGAGCAAGAGCCCTCCCCATCTATAGAATCCATAGGACCAGCTACCCCGATAAATGGACCACAAGAGAAAGGGGAGGATATGGATATCGAAAGGAGGGGAGAAGAGGCAGCGACCCGCAAGGAGAAGCGGGAGTGAGGAAGAGGAGGGGCCCGTGGAGAAATTGCTTATCCACCTATAATGGACACACGGCTCCTCCAAGCAAATCTGCACCGCGCTCGGCAGGCACTACCGCTCTTCGAGCATACCATGACCGAGCGCGGTGCGGGATTGGGAATTGCGGCGGAGCCCTACAGAGTCCCCAAAAACCATCCGAGATGGTTCGGGGACAATCTGGGCTCCGTCGCAATCATTTGGAAAGCGGGCGGAAACTCTCCCCCCGCTACCTATGTGGGTAGCGGAGAGGGATTCGTCGTGGCCAGGTGGGGTGCCCTGATAGTGGTCGGGGTATACCTCCCCCCAACAAAGAGCCTGGACTTTCCTAGCTTTAAGTCCAGGCTCCGAGACATGGGGAGGGCCGTTAGACGGCACCTCCCCGAACCTGTCATCATCGCCGGGGACTTCAATGCGAAGTCGGAGACGTGGGGATCCCGGGATGGTGACAGGAGGGGGGAGGAGGTGGAAGACTGGGCCGCGGGCCTTGATCTGCACCTGCTGAACGAGGGACGTGAATCGACGTTCGTAGGGTCGCGGGGAGAATCGATCATCGATCTCACATGGGCTTCCCCCGCGGCCCTGAAGCGGGTGCGGAGTTGGAGGGTGGCGGACGAGCTCGAAGCTCTTTCAGATCATCTCCTAATAGAGATGGAGCTGTCCGTCACCCCCGAGGGCCTGCGGTCCAAGCAACCCCGAATGCAACCCCGACCGGGGAGATGGTCCCTGAATAAACTGGACAGGGAAGCACTGGACATCTCCCTTGAGGCTGCCACCTGGCCACGGCAGGAAGAGGGGCGGGACCTCGACTCTGAGGTTATGGCAATTATGGAAGTCGTCGCGCATGCGTGCGACGAAGCCATGCCCAGAGTCAGGTCCTGCCCCAAAAGGTCCGCCTGGTGGTGGACCGACGCCATAGCCGATCTCCGGCACAAGTCGGTCCACCTCAGGCGGGCCTTTAGGAGGGTCCGTAACGACCCTCACTCGGACCCCGAGGCTGTTCTGGCTGCCCGGAGGGAGTTTTGCCTAGCGGCGGCATCCCTCAGAGATGCGATTGGGGCAGCCAGAGGAAAAGGGTGGGACACCCTCCTCCTCTCGCTGGACGCGGATCCGTGGGGGCGTCCATACAAAATGGTGATGAACAAGCTGAAACCATGGACGCCCCCGCTAACGGAGACGCTCGACCCCCGGTTCTTGGAGCGGGTCATGGGGACCCTCTTCCCGGTCAGGGAAGGGGACCCCATGGGCCCGTACGTTGCACCCACCCCTGAACAACAAGGGGTGGTACCGGGGGTCACCGAGGAGGAGGTGGCCGGGGCCATCAAAAGGGTCAAAAGCCGGAAGGCGCCAGGACCCGATGGAATCCCCGGCCGCGTCCTTACCCTGGCCTCGGGGTACCTAGGCGGAAGGCTCGCGAGGATATTCTCGCGAGCCCTGAGGGAACGAAGGTTCCCCCAGTCTGGGGGAGGGCCAATGTGGTCCTCCTCCGTAAAGAGGGCAAACCGGAGGGCACCCCCTCCGCATACCGGCCCATATGTCTCCTGGACGAGGCGGGCAAGCTCTTCGAGCGTGTCATAGCTGCCCGCCTCGTGGAGCATATGTCCCGGATAGGTCCGAACCTTGACGACGGCCAATACGGCTTCCGGGAGGGACGTTCCACCGTGGACGCGATTCGGCGTCTGCGGTCCCTCTCGGAGGCCATAGTGCAGGAGGGCGGGGTGGCGGTGGCGGTGTCCTTGGACATCGCCAACGCATTTAACACCCTGCCCTGGGGTAGGGTGGTGGAGGCCATGGAAGGCCACTTCCAATTCCCACCCTACCTCGTGGCTGTCGTCAGGGATTACTTCCGGGGTCGGCGTCTAGCCTGGAGAGACGCCGACGGCAAGGTATGCGAGAGGGGCATGAGTTGCGGGGTTCCACAGGGGTCCGTTTTGGGCCCCCTCCTGTGGAACCTCGGTTACGACTCTGTCCTCCAAACTGCCCTCCCCCCCGGCTGTAGCATCATCTGCTACGCAGATGATACGCTCATCTTAGCCGGGGGGAGAGACTGGGGGGAGGCCGCAAGAACGGCCAACTTTGCGGTGACATGCGTCGTGCGCTCTATTCGCAGACTGGGCCTGGTGGTGGCGGAGAGGAAGACGGAGGCGATCTTCCTCCATGGCAGGAGGATGAAGCCACCCCAGGCCCAGATAAGAGTAGGAAGGGTCAGGGTCCCAATAGAGGCCCAGATGAGATATCTGGGCCTCACCCTGGACGGCACCTGGTGCTTCAGGCAACACTTCAATCGCCTGGTCCCCCGGTTAAGGGCTGTCTCGAGCAGAGTCAGCAGGCTCATGCCGAGAACCGGGGGACCCGATGGGAAGGCGCGTCGCCTCCACGCTGGGGTACTCAACTCGGTGGCCCTTTACGGGGCACCGATATGGGCGGAAGCCCTGGCCGTCAGTCGCCCGATACAGGCAACCTTGCGCAGGGTGCAAAGGGCGCTGGCGGTCAGGGTGGCCCGATGCTACCGAACAGTATCCCACGTGGCGGCGACGGTCCTGGCGAGCATGCCCCCCCTGGAGCTCATGGCCCTTTCGTACATGGGAATGTACGATAGGAAGCGTGAGCTCCTACGTATGGGGGGGGCGGAAGAACCGCTCGCCAGGACAATCAGAAGGATGAAGCACCAGACTCGACAGGTCCTCCTTCAGAGATGGCAGCGACTCCTGGCTAATGCCAGGTACGGAAGGAGGACCGTCGAGGCCGTCCGGCCCTTCCTGCCAGAGTGGGTAGGAAGGGCCCACGGGACCCTGACCTTTAGGATGGCACAGGTGCTCACCGGGCATGGATGCTTCGGTGAGTACCTGTGCCGGATAGGCAAAGAGCGCACGGCGGCATGTCACCACTGTGGACACGACCATGACTCCGCGCAACACACACTCCAGGACTGCCCCGCCTGGAGTGCCGAGCGCGGAGTCATGGTCAGGGCCTTGGGCCAGGACCTCTCACTCCCGGGGATAGTCGGGGCGATCCTCGGGAGTGAGAAGAGATGGGATGCGTTCTCCTCCTTCTGCGACTCGGTAATGACGCAGAAGGAGGAGGCTGAAGAAGCGCGGAGAGAGGCAGAGGGTAGGGGAAGGAAACGGCGGCGGCGCGAGAGACACCGCCAGTGGAGGGCGGGGAGAAGCAGGAGTAGGGAGGGGGACGTTGATTCCTCGGAGGAGGATGAGCTCAGGAGGATGGTGGGCCAACCACCACCTCCTCCACCTCCTCCCCCCCCTCCCCCTCCTGCTCCCCCACAGGCACAAGCAGCGAGACGGGGAACCCGCAGGGGGCACGGTGCCCCCCGTGGAAACCGGAGAGGAGTCGGAGACGGTAGGGTGGCGGTGGTGGTTTTGCACCGCCTCACCCCCCTAATGGTGGCGGCAGCCATGCTGACCGCCCCCCCAGCAGCAGGGGTGATTGCGGCGCCACCACCGCCGCCACCCCCCGCTGTCCCACCAAGGGCAGCGACGACGGGAGAAGGTAGCGGGTGGAGGGCCCGGCTCAGGCCTAGGCCCTACACACGCAGACCGCCGACCCCATCGAAAAAAGGGGTTGGATGAAAGTAAGGGGGGGAGAGGGCATCGATGATAAGGAATCATCGAAACAAATGCCCCTCCCCCCCTTAATCGCAAGTCCGACAGACCAGTCGGACATGCGGCAGGGGGGTCGCTAGGACCCCCCGCCCCATTCCTCCGCGGAGGTGGGGAGAGCCCGGCGGCTAGGGGAGTAGATCTCCCTGCAACCGCCGGGCGGGAGGGTGGGGTACCGGGCGGGGACTCCCGGTGCCCCAACCAGCCCTCCCAAGGTAGGGTGGCTGGCTGATACGGTGGGTCAGTCAGCCACACAACGTGTTCTGGCGGCGCCTCGTCTGGTCGGGAACGGTGGTGAAGCGGGCCTCGGCCGGCTTCCCCCCTCCCGACCGAAGAGACGAGGCGTGAGGGGTGGGAAAGGGGAACGGCGGTCGAAGCGGGCCCTCGGGCCGGCTTCCCCCTTCCCCTGGGGGAGCGGCGGTCGAAGCGGACCCTCGGGTCGGCTTCCCCCCTCCCCCACCCCGCCCCTCAGGGACAGAAGGTGGAACATCTGGACTCGGGGCCCCGATCAGCAGTTACACGGCACCGGGGCCCCGAACCAAGTCCCTTCGCAGCGCCACCCGGGGAGGTTTTAGCCGGTAGGAGTCCGGCATAACCCTGGCCCTTCCCCGAGGGTCAGGGTATCCATGATGGATTTCCTCCTCGTCAAAAAAAAAAAAAAAAAAGGTTAGGTTAGGTTAGGTGTCACGGGAGCCCTGATCTTGGAGATCCCAGGTGAGGACCGCAACACACATGCGGACAACCTCGCCAAAAAACTAAGCGAGGTACTCGCAGAAAAGGCAAAAGTGACCCGCCCACAAAAAATGGGAGAAATAAGGATCAGGGGCCTAGAGGTGTCCACCTCAGAGGAGGAGGCTGCGCAGCGGGTGGCCCAAGCCGGTGGCTGCAGAGTGGCGGAGGTCCAGACGGGAGTCATAAGGACCACACCATCGGGCTATAGGTCGTTATGGATGAGGTGCCCGCTCGCAGCAGCCAAAAAAGTGGCGGAGAAGGGAACTCTATCTCTGGGGTGGACGCAGGTCAAAGTAGAGCTCCTCGAATCTAGGCCCCTGCAATGCTACAGGTGCCTTGAGAGAGGGCACGTGCAGCAAAATTGCAGCAACAAGGTGGACAGAAGAAACATCTGTTACAGGTGTGGAGAGACGGATCACCTGGCCCGCAGCTGCACCAAAGCAGCGAGGTGTGCTGTGTGTGCTGCGGCGGGAAAACAGGCGGGTCACCGAATGGGGGGGCCGGCGTGTCGCCCCCCCAATAAGAGAAGGAATCAAAAGAGGGATGAGGGGCAGGAAGCGGAGGCAGCCGCACCAATGCCACCAGCCCCCCCTCCTCCCTCTAAGGAAAGGACAGACGAAAGCGGGGATAAGGAGCAAGTGCCCTCCCCACCAACAGAGTCCTTGGGACCAATTACCCCGGTAAATGAATCGCAGGACAAAGGGATGGAGGACATGGATATCGAAAGGAGGGGAGAGAAGAGGCAACGACCCGCAAGGAGAAGCGGGAGTGAGGAAGAGGAGGGGCCCGTGGAGAAATTGCTGATACACCTGTAATGGACACACGGCTCCTCCAAGCAAATCTGCACCGCGCTCGGCAGGCACTACCGCTTTTCGAGCATACCATGACCGAGCGCGGTGCGGGATTGGGAATTGCGGCGGAGCCCTACAGAGTCCCCAAAAACCATCCGAGATGGTTCGGGGACAATCTGGGCTCCGTCGCAATCATTTGGAAAGCGGGCGGAAACTCTCCCCCCGCTACCTATGTGGGTAGCGGAGAGGGATTCGTCGTGGCCAGGTGGGGTGCCCTGATAGTGGTCGGGGTATACCTCCCCCCAACAAAGAGCCTGGACTTTCCTAGCTTTAAGTCCAGGCTCCGAGACATGGGGAGGGCCGTTAGACGGCACCTCCCCGAACCTGTCATCATCGCCGGGGACTTCAATGCGAAGTCGGAGACGTGGGGATCCCGGGATGGTGACAGGAGGGGGGAGGAGGTGGAAGACTGGGCCGCGGGCCTTGATCTGCACCTGCTGAACGAGGGACGTGAATCGACGTTCGTAGGGTCGCGGGGAGAATCGATCATCGATCTCACATGGGCTTCCCCCGCGGCCCTGAAGCGGGTGCGGAGTTGGAGGGTGGCGGACGAGCTCGAAGCTCTTTCAGATCATCTCCTAATAGAGATGGAGCTGTCCGTCACCCCCGAGGGCCTGCGGTCCAGGCAACCCCGAATGCAACCCCGACCGGGGAGATGGTCCCTTAACAAACTGGACAGGGAAGCACTGGACATCTCCCTAGAGGCTGCCACCTGGCCACGGCAGGAAGAGGGGCGGGACCTCGACTCTGAGGTTATGGCAATTATGGAAGTCGTCGCGCATGCGTGCGACGAAGCCATGCCCAGAGTCAGGTCCTGCCCCAAAAGGTCCGCCTGGTGGTGGACCGACGCCATAGCCGATCTCCGGCACAAGTCGGTCCACCTCAGGCGGGCCTTCAGGAGGGTCCGTAATGACCCTCACTCGGACCCCGAGGCTGTTCTGGCTGCCCGGAGGGAGTTTTGCCTAGCGGCAGCATCCCTCAGAGATGCGATTGGGGCAGCCAGAGGAAAAGGGTGGGACACCCTCCTCCTCTCGCTGGACGCGGATCCGTGGGGGCGTCCATACAAAATGGTGATGAACAAGCTGAAACCATGGACGCCCCCGCTAACGGAGACGCTCGACCCCCGGTTCTTGGAGCGGGTCATGGGGACCCTCTTCCCGGTCAGGGAAGGGGACCCCATGGGCCCGTACGTTGCACCCACCCCTGAACAACAAGGGGTGGTACCGGGGGTCACCGAGGAGGAGGTGGCCGGGGCCATCAAAAGGGTCAAAAGCCGGAAGGCGCCAGGACCCGATGGAATCCCCGGCCGCGTCCTTACCCTGGCCTCGGGGTACCTAGGCGGAAGGTTCGCGAGGATATTCTCGCGAGCCCTGAGGGAACGAAGGTTCCCCCCAGTCTGGGGGAGGGCCAATGTGGTCCTCCTCCGTAAAGAGGGCAAACCGGAGGACACCCCCTCCGCATACCGGCCCATATGTCTCCTGGACGAGGCGGGCAAGCTCTTCGAGCGCGTCATAGCTGCCCGCCTCGTGGAGCATATGTCCCGGATAGGTCCGAACCTTGACGACGGCCAATACGGCTTCCGGGAGGGACGTTCCACCGTAGACGCGATTCGGCGTCTGCGGTCCCTCTCGGAGGCCATAGTGCAGGAGGGCGGGGTGGCGGTGGCGGTGTCCTTGGACATCGCCAACGCATTTAACACCCTGCCCTGGGGTAGGGTGGTGGAGGCCATGGAAGGCCACTTCCAATTCCCACCCTACCTCGTGGCCGTCGTCAGGGATTACTTCCGGGGTCGGCGTCTAGCCTGGAGAGACGCCGACGGCAAGGTATGCGAGAGGGGCATGAGTTGCGGGGTTCCACAGGGGTCCGTTTTGGGCCCCCTCCTGTGGAACCTCGGTTACGACTCTGTCCTCCAAACTGCCCTCCCCCCCGGCTGTAGCATCATCTGCTACGCAGATGATACGCTCATCTTAGCCGGGGGGAGAGACTGGGGGGAGGCCGCACGAACGGCCAACTTCGCGGTGACATGCGTCGTGCGCTCTATTCGCAGACTGGGCCTGGTGGTGGCGGAGAGGAAGACGGAGGCGATCTTCCTCCATGGCAGGAGGATGAAGCCACCCCAGGCCCAGATAAGAGTAGGAAGGGTCAGGGTCCCAATAGAGGCCCAGATGAGATATCTGGGCCTCACCCTGGACGGCACCTGGTGCTTCAGGCAACACTTCAATCGCCTGGTCCCCCGGTTAAGGGCTGTCTCGAGCAGAGTCAGCAGACTCATGCCGAGAACCGGGGGACCGGATGGGAAGGCGCGTCGCCTCCACGCTGGGGTACTGAACTCGGTGGCCCTTTACGGGGCACCGATATGGGCGGAAGCCCTGGCCGTCAGTCGCCCTATACAAGCAACCCTGCGCAGGGTGCAGAGGGCGCTGGCGGTCAGGGTGGCCCGCTGTTACAGAACAGTATCCCACGTGGCGGCGACGGTCCTGGCGAGCATGCCCCCCCTGGAGCTCATGGCCCTTTCGTACATGGGAATGTACGATAGGAAGCGTGAGCTCCTGCGTATGGGGGGGGCGGAAGAACCGCTCGCCAGGACAATCAGAAGGATGAAGCACCAGACTCGACAGGTCCTCCTTCAGAGATGGCAGCGACTCCTGGCTAATGCCAGGTACGGAAGGAGGACCGTCGAGGCCGTCCGGCCCTTCCTGCCAGAGTGGGTAGGAAGGGCCCACGGGACCCTGACCTTTAGGATGGCACAGGTGCTCACCGGGCACGGATGCTTCGGTGAGTACCTGTGCCGGATAGGCAAAGAGCGCACGGCGGCATGTCACCACTGTGGACACGACCATGACTCCGCGCAACACACACTCCAGGACTGCCCCGCCTGGAGTGCCGAGCGCGGAGTCATGGTCAGGGCCTTGGGCCAGGACCTCTCACTCCCGGGGATAGTCGGGGCGATCCTCGGGAGTGAGAAGAGATGGGATGCGTTCTCCTCCTTCTGCGGCTCGGTAATGACGCAGAAGGAGGAGGCTGAAGAAGCGCGGAGAGAGGCAGAGGGCCGGGGGAGAAAGAGAAGACGGAGAGAGAGGCACCGCCAATGGAGGGCGGGGAGAAGCAGGAGCAGAGAGGGGGACGTTGATTCCTCGGAGGAGGACGAGCTCAGGAGGATGGTGGGCCAACCACCACCTCCTCCACCTCCTCCCCCCCCTCCCCCTCCTGCTCCCCCACAAGCACAAGCAGCGAGACGGGGAACCCGCAGGGGGCACGGTGCCCCCCGTGGAAACCGGAGAGGAGTCGGAGACGGTAGGGTGGCGGTGGTGGTTTTGCACCGCCTCACCCCCCTAATGGTGGCGGCAGCCATGCTGACCGCCCCCCCAGCAGCAGGGGTGATTGCGGCGCCACCACCGCCGCCACCCCCCGCTGTCCCACCAAGGGCAGCGACGACGGGAGAAGGTAGCGGGTGGAGGGCCAGGCTCAGGCCTAGGCCCTACACCCGCAGACCGCCGACTCCCACAAGAACGGGAGTCGGATGAAAATGAGGGGGGGAGAGGGCATCGATGATAACGAATCATCGAAACAAATGCCCCTCCCCCCCTTAATCGCAGGTCCGACAGACCAGTCGGACATGCGGGAAGGGGGGTCACTAGGACCCCCCGCCCCATTCCTCCGCGGAGGTGGGGAGAGCCCGGCGGCTAGGGGAGTACATCTCCCCGCAACCGCCGGGCGGGAGGGTGGGGCACCGGGCGGGGACTCCCGGTGCTCCAACCAGCCCTCCCAAGGTAGGGTGGCTGGCTGATACGGTGGGTCAGTCAGCCACACAACGTGTGTACAGGCGGCGCCTCGTCTGGTCGGGAACGGCGGTGAAGCGGGCCTCGGCCGGCTTCCCCCTTCCCGACCGAAGAGACGAGGCGTGAGGGGTGGGGAAAGGGGAACGGCGGTCGAAGCGGGCCCTCGGGCCGGCTTCCCCCTTCCCCTGGGGGAGCGGTGGTCGAAGCGGACCCTCGGGTCGGCTTCCCCCCTCCCCCGCCCCGCCCCTCAGGGACAGAAGGTGTAACATCTGGACTCGGGGCCCCGATCAGCAGTTACACGGCACCGGGGCCCCGAACCAAGTCCCTTCGCAGCGCCACCCGGGGAGGTTTTAGCCGGTAGGAGTCCGGCATAACCCTGGCCCTTCCCCGAGGGTCAGGGTATCCATGATGGATTTCCTCCTCGTCAAAAAAAAAAAAAAAAAAAAAAAAAAAAAAGGTTAGGTTAGGTTACCTCTCACTCCCGGGGATAGTCGGGGCGATCCTCGGGAGTGAGAAGAGATGGGATGCGTTCTCCTCCTTCTGCGGCTCGGTAATGACGCAGAAGGAGGAGGCTGAAGAAGCGCGGAGAGAGGCAGAGGGCCGGGGGAGAAAGAGAAGGCGGAGAGAGAGGCACCGCCAATGGAGGGCGGGGAGAAGCAGGAGCAGAGAGGGGGACGTTGATTCCTCGGAGGAGGACGAGCTCAGGAGGATGGTGGGCCAACCACCACCTCCTCCACCTCCTCCCCCCCCTCCCCCTCCTGCTCCCCCACAAGCACAAGCAGCGAGACGGGGAACCCGCAGGGGGCACGGTGCCCCCCGTGGAAACCGGAGAGGAGTCGGAGACGGTAGGGTGGCGGTGGTGGTTTTGCACCGCCTCACCCCCCTAATGGTGGCGGCAGCCATGCTGACCGCCCCCCCAGCAGCAGGGGTGATTGCGGCGCCACCACCGCCGCCACCCCCCGCTGTCCCACCAAGGGCAGCGACGACGGGAGAAGGTAGCGGGTGGAGGGCCCGGCTCAGGCCTAGGCCCTACACACGCAGACCGCCGACCCCATCGAAAAAAGGGGTTGGATGAAAGTAAGGGGGGGAGAGGGCATCGATGATAAGGAATCATCGAAACAAATGCCCCTCCCCCCCTTAATCGCAAGTCCGACAGACCAGTCGGACATGCGGCAGGGGGGTCGCTAGGACCCCCCCGCCCCATTCCTCCGCGGAGGTGGGGAGAGCCCGGCGGCTAGGGGAGTACATCTCCCCGCAACCGCCGGGCGGGAGGGTGGGGCACCGGGCGGGGACTCCCGGTGCTCCAACCAGCCCTCCCAAGGTAGGGTGGCTGGCTGATACGGTGGGTCAGTCAGCCACACAACGTGTGTACAGGCGGCGCCTCGTCTGGTCGGGAACGGCGGTGAAGCGGGCCTCGGCCGGCTTCCCCCTTCCCGACCGAAGAGACGAGGCGTGAGGGGTGGGGAAAGGGGAACGGCGGTCGAAGCGGGCCCTCGGGCCGGCTTCCCCCTTCCCCTGGGGGAGCGGCGGTCGAAGCGGACCCTCGGGTCGGCTTCCCCCCTCCCCCACCCCGCCCCTCAGGGACAGAAGGTGTAACATCTGGACTCGGGGCCCCGATCAGCAGTTACATGGCACCGGGGCCCCGAACCAAGTCCCTTCGCAGCGCCACCCGGGGAGGTTTTAGCCGGTAGGAGTCCGGCATAACCCTGGCCCTTCCCCGAGGGTCAGGGTATCCATGATGGATTTCCTCCTCGTCAAAAAAAAAAAAAAAAAAAAAAAAAAAGGTTAGGTTAGGTTAGGTTAGGTTAGGTTGGCGTCTGCGGTCCCTCTCGGAGGCCATAGTGCAGGAGGGCGGGGTGGCGGTGGCGGTGTCCTTGGACATCGCCAACGCATTTAACACCCTGCCCTGGGGTAGGGTGGTGGAGGCCATGGAAGGCCACTTCCAATTCCCACCCTACCTCGTGGCCGTCGTCAGGGATTACTTCCGGGGTCGGCGTCTAGCCTGGAGAGACGCCGACGGCAAGGTATGCGAGAGGGGCATGAGTTGCGGGGTTCCACAGGGGTCCGTTTTGGGCCCCCTCCTGTGGAACCTCGGTTACGACTCTGTCCTCCAAACTGCCCTCCCCCCCGGCTGTAGCATCATCTGCTACGCAGATGATACGCTCATCTTAGCCGGGGGGAGAGACTGGGGGGAGGCTGCAGGGACGGCCAACTTCGCGGTGACATGCGTCGTGCGCTCTATTCGCAGACTGGGCCTGGTGGTGGCGGAGAGGAAGACGGAGGCGATCTTCCTCCATGGCAGGAGGATGAAGCCACCCCAGGCCCAGATAAGAGTAGGAAGGGTCAGGGTCCCAATAGAGGCCCAGATGAGATATCTGGGCCTCACCCTGGACGGCACCTGGTGCTTCAGGCAACACTTCAATCGCCTGGTCCCCCGGTTAAGGGCTGTCTCGAGCAGAGTCAGCAGACTCATGCCGAGAACCGGGGGACCGGATGGGAAGGCGCGTCGCCTCCACGCTGGGGTACTCAATTCGGTGGCCCTTTACGGGGCGCCGATATGGGCAGAAGCCCTGGCCGTCAGTCGCCCCATACAAGCAACCCTGCGCAGGGTGCAAAGGGCGCTGGCGGTCAGGGTGGCCCGCTGTTACCGAACAGTATCCCACGTGGCGGCGACGGTCCTGGCGAGCATGCCCCCCCTGGAGCTCATGGCCCTTTCGTACATGGGAATGTACGATAGGAAGCGTGAGCTCCTACGTATGGGGGGGGCGGAAGAACCGCTCGCCAGGACAATCAGAAGGATGAAGCACCAGACTCGACAGGTCCTCCTTCAGAGATGGCAGCGACTCCTGGCTAATGCCAGGTACGGAAGGAGGACCGTCGAGGCCGTCCGGCCCTTCCTGCCAGAGTGGGTAGGAAGGGCCCACGGGACCCTGACCTTTAGGATGGCACAGGTGCTCACCGGGCACGGATGCTTCGGTGAGTACCTGTGCCGGATAGGCAAAGAGCGCACGGCGGCATGTCACCACTGTGGACACGACCATGACTCCGCGCAACACACACTCCAGGACTGCCCCGCCTGGAGTGCCGAGCGCGGAGTCATGGTCAGGGCCTTGGGCCAGGACCTCTCACTCCCGGGGATAGTCGGGGCGATCCTCGGGAGTGAGAAGAGATGGGATGCGTTCTCCTCCTTCTGCGGCTCGGTAATGACGCAGAAGGAGGAGGCTGAAGAAGCGCGGAGAGAGGCAGAGGGCCGGGGGAGAAAGAGAAGACGGAGAGAGAGGCACCGCCAATGGAGGGCGGGGAGAAGCAGGAGCAGAGAGGGGGACGTTGATTCCTCGGAGGAGGATGAGCTCAGGAGGATGGTGGGCCAACCACCACCTCCTCCACCTCCTCCCCCCCCTCCCCCTCCTGCTCCCCCACAAGCACAAGCAGCGAGACGGGGAACCCGCAGGGGGCACGGTGCCCCCCGTGGAAACCGGAGAGGAGTCGGAGACGGTAGGGTGGCGGTGGTGGTTTTGCACCGCCTCACCCCCCTAATGGTGGCGGCAGCCATGCTGACCGCCCCCCCAGCAGCAGGGGTGATTGCGGCGCCACCACCGCCGCCACTCCCCGCTGTGCCACCAAGGGCAGCGACGACGGGAGAAGGTAGCGGGTGGAGGGCCCGGCTCAGGCCTAGGCCCTACACACGCAGACCGCCGACCCCATCGAAAAAAGGGGTTGGATGAAAGTAAGGGGGGGAGAGGGTATCGATGATAGGGAATCATCGAAACAAATGCCCCTCCCCCCCTTAATCGCAAGTCCGACAGTCCAGTCGGACATGCGGGAGGGGGGTCGCTAGGACCCCCCGCCCCATTCCTCCGCGGAGGTGGGGAGAGCCCGGCGGCTAGGGGAGTATATCTTCCCGTAACCGCCGGGCGGGAGGGTGGGGCACCGGGCGGGGACTCCCGGTGCTCCAACCAGCCCTCCCAAGGTAGGGTGGCTGGCTGATACGGTGGGTCAGTCAGCCACACAACGTTCTTCAATTGGCGGCGCCTCGTCTGGTCGGGAACGGTGGTTGAAGCGGGCCTCGGCCGGCTTCCCCCTTCCCGACCAAAGAGACGAGGCGTGAGGGGTGGGAAAGGGGAACGGCGGTCGAAGCGGGCCCTCGGGCCGGCTTCCCCCTTCCCCTGGGGGAGCGGCGGTCGAAGCGAACCCTCGGGTCGGCTTCCCCCCTCCCCCGCCCCGCCCCTCAGGGACAGAAGGTGCAACATCTGGACTCGGGGCCCCGATCAGCAGTTACACGGCACCGGGGCCCCGAACCAAGTCCCTTCGCAGCGCCACCCGGGGAGGTTTTAGCCGGTAGGAGTCCGGCATAACCCTGGCCCTTCCCCGAGGGTCAGGGTATCCATGATGGATTTCCTCCTCGTCAAAAAAAAAAAAAAAAAAAAAAAAAAAAAGGTTAGGTTAGGTTAAGGGAACCGGAGCCAGAGTCCCAGCCTCCTCTCCCTCAAAGGAAGCGGAGAACCTCGCTCCCTCTTTCGCCCCCCACACGTGTCCCCACTGAAGGTGGGAGCATGGAGGTGGACGAGAAAAGGGGGGAAAAGAGAGTGAGGCCCACAGAGAGAGAGGATACCGACGGCGAACAGCCGGGGGAAAAAGTGGTGGTAATCACGGTACCAGATAATGGAGACTAGATTATTACAAGGGAACCTGCACCGCGCCCGTCAAGCGCTCCCCCTGTTCGAGCATACTATGACGGAGCGCGGTGCAGGCTTAGGAATAGCGGCAGAGCCCCACCATGTCCCCAGGAACCACAGATGGTTCGGGGACGAGTTGGGCTCTGTCGCTATTGTGTGGAAGGCGAGCAGCCGCTCACCCCCTGCCAAATATTTGGACCGCGGCAGGGGGTTTGTTGTGGCCAGGTGGGGAGCCGTCACCGTGGTCGGGGTATACCTCCCCCCAGCAAAGAGCCTGGGCTTGGTAGATTACGAGTCCAGGCTCCAAGAAATGGGAGATGTCATCAAGAGACATCTCCCAGGTCCTGTCATCGTCGCCGGCGATTTTAACGCCAAATCGGAGCTATGGGGCTCCCGGCGCGATGACAGGAGGGGGGAGGTAACTGCGGATTGGGCCGTGGGCCTAGGTCTGCACATAATGAACGATGGTGTAAAATCCACATTCGTGGGGTCGAGGGGGGAGTCTATTATAGACTTGTCTTGGGCGACCCCCTCGGCCCTGCGAAGGGTGCGGACCTGGAGGGTGGCGGAGGAGCTCGAATCGTTGTCTGACCATCTCTTGATAGAGATGGAGCTCTCCGTCACCCCCGATGGCCTACGGCCCCGTAATAAGGACGGACCCCGGCCCGGTAGATGGGCCCTAGCCCAGTTAAACAGGGAGGACCTAGAAATCTCCCTGATGGGCTCCACCTGGCCACAATGCAAGGACGGGCAGGACCTTGACTCTGAGGTCATGGAGGTTATGCAGGTGCTCGCACTTGCGTGCGATGCCTCCATGCCCAGAGTCAGGGCCTGCCCAAAACGATGCGCCTGGTGGTGGACCGACGAAATTGCCGCGTTGCGGCGGAGGTCGGTCCACCTCAGGCGCGCGTTCCGAGCGGTACGCCGGGACGCGGACCCTGAGGTCACTCTGGCCGCCCGGCAGGAGTTCTGCACTGCAGCCAAGGAACTCCGGAACGCCATAGGGGTGGCCAGAGGAAAGGGGTGGGACGACCTCCTCCTCTCGCTGGACGCGGATCCGTGGGGGCGCCCATACAGGATGGTGATGCAAAAGCTGAGACCATGGGCGCCCCCTCTGACGGAGACGCTTGACTCCCGGTTCCTGGGACGGGTGATGGGGACCCTATTCCCGGTTGGGGGGGAAGACCCCATCACCCAGTACGTAACCCCCTCCCCCGAACAACAGGGGGAGGTTCCGGGAGTCACCGAGGAGGAGGTGGCCGAGGCTACCAAAAGGGTCAAGAGCGGGAAAGCTCCGGGACCCGATGGTATCCCCGGCCGTGTCCTCACCCTGGCCTCAGGGTACATGAGCGGCAGGCTCGCCAGCCTATTCACCAGGGCAGTGAAGGAACGAAGATTCCCCCCAGTCTGGGGGAGGGCCAACGTGGTCCTCCTCCGAAAAGAGGGCAAGCCGGAGGAATCCCCCTCCGCGTACCGGCCCATATGCCTCCTGGATGAGGCGGGCAAGCTCTTTGAGCGCATAATAGCAGCCCGCCTCAAGAGGCATATGTCCCGGGAGGGTCCTGACTTAGGTGACGGCCAGTATGGCTTCCGAGAGGGCAGATCAACTGTGGATGCAGTGTTGCATCTCAAGTCCCTCTCGGGGGCCATAGTGTCGGAGGGCAGGGTGGCGGTCGCGGTATCCCTGGATATCGCGAACGCGTTCAACACCCTGCCCTGGGGTAGGGTGGTGCAAGCGATGAGGGGTTATTTCCGCTTCCCACCCTACCTCACGGCCGTCATAGAGGACTACTTCCGGGGTCGGCGTCTCACGTGGACGGACGCCGATGGCACGGTGCGAGAGAGGGGGATGAGTCGTGGGGTCCCACAAGGTTCGGTGCTGGGGCCCCTATTATGGAACATTGGTTACGACTCAGTCCTCCGGACAGCCCTCCCCCCCGGCTGTAGCACGCTGTGCTACGCCGATGACACGCTCGTCCTAGCCGGGGGGAGAGACTGGGGGGAAGCCGTTCACACGGCCAATTTAGCGGTGGCGGCGGTTGTGCGCTCCATCCGCAACTTGGGCCTGGTGGTGGCCGAAAGGAAGACGGAGGCGATCTTCCTCCACGCCAAGGGCATGAAGCCACCCCAGGCCCAAGTCAGGATAGGTCAAGTCAGGGTCCCCATAGAGGCCCAGATGAAATATCTGGGCCTCACCCTGGACGGCACCTGGTGCTTCAAAGAGCATATCAACAGGCTGGTCCCCCGACTCAGGATGATTTCAATCAACCTGGGCAGGTTGATGCCCAACGTCGGGGGACCAGACATGAAGGCACGTCGCCTCCACGCAGGAATCTTAAATTCCGTAGCAATGTACGGAGCGCCGGTTTGGGCGGAGTCTCTGGCCGCCAGTCGCCCGATGCAAGCGCAGATGCGCAGGGTGCAGAGGGGGCTGGCGGTCAGAGTTGCGAGATGCTACCGTACCGTCTCCTGCGTGGCGGCGACAGTCCTGGCGAGCATGCCCCCCATGGAGCTCGTGGCCCTGTCGTACAAACGTATGTACGACAGGAAGCGCGAGCTCCTAAGAAGAGGGGGGGCGGACATACCGCTCGCCAGGACGATCAGAGAGATGAAGCACCAGACTCGACGGATCCTCCTCGAAAGATGGCAGAGGTGTCTGGCCAATGCCAGATACGGGAGGAGGACCGTCGAGGCCGTCCGGCCCTTCCTGCTCGAGTGGGTGGGAAGGGCCCATGGGGCCCTGACTTTCAGGGCGGCACAGGTGCTCACCGGGCATGGCTGCTTCGGTGAGTACCTGTGCCGAATAGGAAAGGAGCGCACAGCCGCCTGTCACCATTGCGGGAATGGCCACGACTCCGCGCAGCATACGCTCCAGGAATGCCCGGCCTGGAGCAACGAGCGCGGAGTCGTGGAGAGGCAGTTAGGTGGAGACCTTTCGCTCCCCAGTATAGTCCGGGCGATACTGGGGAGCGAAGAGAAGTGGGAAGCCTTCACCACATTTTGCGAAGGCGTGATGAAGAAGAAGGAGGAGGCTGAGGAGGAGAGACGAAGAGCAGAGGGAAGGGGAAGGCGGAAGAGGCGGAGAGACCGTCACCGCCAATGGAGAGGAGGGAGGAGCAGGAGCAGGGAGGGGGACGCAGACTCCTCGGAGGAGGAGGAACTTCGGAGGTTGGGGGCGCAGCCACCACCTCCGCCTCCTCCTAACCCACCTGCTGCTCCTCCTCCAATAAGGAGAGCGAGAGGCAGGAGAAAAGCGACGAACTGGAGGGGGCAATTGGGAGCTCTCCAGAGAGACAGAGGGGTGGCGGTGGTGGTGCTGCAGAGGCTTGCCCCACTTGTGGCAGTGGCAGCAGCGCTGACCGCCCCGGCAATTGGGGTGGACGTGGCATTGCCACCGCCGCCACCCCTCGCTGCCCCACCAACGGCAGCGACGGACGAAGGAAGCGGATGGGGCCAGAGGCTAAG